CGACGTTTTTATGACAAAACTCAGGGTTATTTAACAAACAAGTGGGAGATACGAGAGGTTTAGCGACGGTTTATTAAAAATTCCACTAATCTTGAAAACACTGAACTTAAATGTCAGATACCTATGATCCCTTCGACAAATCTCGTTGTTTCTCTACGTACGCTCCTTTTTAATCGAGAACCATTAGTATTGATCAGTGATTTACTTGATGTGTGACCGATAAGCGCTGAAATTCCTTTAAACACATCGCTGAGTCCTCGAGCTTCTTCCTTTTTTTAAAAAACAAAGATATTGCAGAATACAGCGACTAAGTAAAAATAATCATTTAAAGAAAACGGCGGACATCAAATCTTTTCATGTTCTAGGTAGAAATTTGTTGTTTACATTACATGAAATGACTTATAATCCTTCCGCATGTCAAACACATGTTTAACTGATACATATGTAAAAACGGAAAAGCATAACGTCGTTTGTTTGACAACCCAAGGTTTTGTTTTTTAGACACGCCAGTTCCCATTTGAATAACTGTCTGGTTTCTGGTGTAAAATTGTTGATCTCGACAGAAATCTGGCCTTTACGTCCCATTCTGAAAAGGGGAATGTACGTTTTCATCTACTTGAAAATGAACGAAAACAACCCCTTGAATCATTTACACTGTATAGAGTTTACCTGGTGGTTTCATAAAAAATATAGCGTTCTTAACCAAAGGAAGAATTTTGTTTTATTTCGCGCTTTAATTTCTTTAATGCTCCAAAATAAAAACATTCATTCGGGTTATGCGACAACGACCGCAGCCTATGATAAAGCGATGTTTGCATATTCGCCCTGAAAACCATATTGAGACGTATTTTCTTGTAATCACACAGTTTCACTTCCTGTGTGCGAACACTCCCTATGTGCAGCAAATATCTCACTTCCTCCTTTACTCTCTTTACGAAAGGCAAGTATTTTTCTACGGTTATCCCACAGGCGAACTACGTTCTAACTGAAACAGCAGTCAGCAATTAAAAGCCATCTTGGGGAAGATTTCTGTCTCTCAAGATTTCCTTAGAAAAATCAGTATGGAAAAAATAAAACTAAACTAAACAAATATTGAGCCGGAACCCAAAGCCAAATTTATTGTAAAAAGCTAATAGTCAGCTGTCGTACTCAGACATCTCAAAATATAGTTGACATTCATGAGGACCTTTGAAGTTTCTTCATGTTGAGATATGCATTTGATTTCAAATAAAGTAGCGCGTAAACAGACGTAAGATTTTGTGGCGTTAGGAAAATAAGGGATTTGTTCTGAAATTATCTCATTTGAGTTTCCAGCTCCAAGGGCCAGGAAACAACACTAACGGAATTTAGCCTTTATCCTTGAGTGCCGGAGTCAGGGGCTCTTTGTTCATTTCAACTCGTAGGTATGGCAAAAATTAAACAATAATTAAACTTAGTCATGTTTCAAGTCAAAGATACGTGGCGACATTTCAAGACTTTTCGTCAACAGGAGCGAAATAAGTGCACTCAACATAATCTTCGGTGATGCTGCAGTATAGCTGATATGGTTGGTTCCGACGCTTTGTATCGCTTGGAATCCCACTATTTTTTTTCTCCAATCTCCGGTTTCTTTTTTTGGAAAGAAAATAAAGCAAAGTTTCGACGGAACAACAAGTAGAACTTTATGGAAATCATCTTAGGTAAAGCTGTCGAAATTGAATTATTTTCGACCAAACTGATGAATTATTTTTATCAGTGCGACTGAAAATGTGGAAGACTTCGTGGAGGGTCGCTTTGTACTCACTCAGGTGCATTTTACTCTGCTGCATATGAGGCATGCAGTTTGACAAGAGGCTACAAATGGATTCGCCTATTAGCGAGAGAATATAAACTCCACCTATCAATTGATATTTTCCGCTTCATGATCTCCGAGAGAACCTTGTAATTAACCAGTATCTAATGAACAGAAGAAGACAAGAGCCTCATAACACATTTGATCAGTTACAAGTGCAGACGGCCGTAAATCGCCTTATTTCATTTTTTTCAATTCTTCAAGAGCAAAAATATCTACGCCAAGAAAAAACTGCGGTATTTTTCAACCAAGTAGACGCTCATAATGTTTGTTTTTCAGAATAATCAAAGCATAAATTCCTCTGAAGTGCTGTTCACTGTTCAAGATATGATAAAAGCGTCCTTTCCTATGTTTCGATAAGTCGTCGCAGCAATAAACTTAGTGCATTCTGGAACTATAGGATTGCAATTTTACACACTTTTATAACGATCAAAATCTTAAATCAAGAAATTGGCGAGCCGTACTTAAACTTTTCATCCAATCTCTTCATCTTTTGCGGTCAGTCGAAGGCTTCCCATGGTACATGATACATTAGTCTCTGCTTTCAAAATAATTTTGTGGTCTAGAATAGTCTTTTGGTCGAGGATCTCAGTCAAAAGGTAACTAGGATTGCTTGTGAGCGACGAAAGTTTGTGTATGATCGCTGTCAATTGAATTGACATTTTGAAATGTAAAAGCCGATATTTTTAAAGACGAACGCGAAGCAGATTATCACAACCAGTGATCAAAACGATACTGCCACTGCGACACATATTTTCATGTCATTCGTGGCACTTTAAAATGATGGGAGAGAAGCGACTTATATAATAACAAACTGTATGGCTGAAGTTACCAGGGCTCGTCATGTTTTCTAATTTGAAATCGAAAATCGACGTCGAACGCATCAGTAATTGATCAGTGATCGGTAACTCGGATT